ATGCAGAAATAGAAGTATAATGATGTACGCCTGAAATTTATATGTTATAAACCAATGTTACCACAATAAACAAAAAATTTAAAAAAATAAAAAAATAACAATTTGAATAAAAACAAAGTAAAAAAATAAAACACACACCTATACCATATTTATCTTCCATTGTTATAATTTACATCAGTTATGTTTTTTCATTGATTTAATTGCCATAGATTTTAGTTGAAGTATATCCAGGTATTTTTCTGATTTTACATTAAGCAAATCTTAAGTAAACTACATTGCAATCATGGCTATGAGAGTTCTAGATTTCCAATCTAATGGCACAGCGATTGTATTTAAATTTAATGTATTTATCTACCTCACTTTCTTGTCGACACCCTCTCTGCTTTCCATAGATCTCTCCCAATAAGTAAGACTTCAAATTTGTTTTTCTGAGCAAAATTAACGTTTTCCTAAGCTTCAAGCACTGATCTCAAAATCAAGCATTAAATAATTGGTATGATACTAAAAACACTATAAATATTTTATAATCCTTTTCAAACTTAAGAAATCACATTACCTGATTAGACTGTGATAATCTTAGGACGGTGGGGAATTCATCTTTAAACTCATCTATAAGGTCCACGATTGCTTTCTGGATCCCCTCGACTAAGACAAAAAGAAATTAGAGGGAAAGAAACAAAGCTTAACTGAAAACATCCCCTAACCATAATTCAAAAGAACATGGAACACTGGGTCCACCTCCCAGATGACCAGGAAAGCAAGCAAACTCCAGAGGACTTTATTCCCAGTTTACTATGCCCATATCCCCTTTACAACAAGATTGTAAATACTTCTTCCAGAAAAGTTCTTCAACACCTGCCCACATATCCACCCCACAGGTTTGACTGGCATGATGAGTTCTTGCTTGGCCTCCTAATACTTAGCAAACTTGCAGGCCTGGGCAATGCCTGTCCTGATCTATCATTAGTGAGGGATGAGGGCAGCCTTCCACTCAGGAAAGCAGGCAAGGACAGAACCTGCAGCTCACTTCTGGAATTCTTTGTTACTGCACAATGGGCCTCTGAGAACTTGTTACAGAACCTTCTGAAATCACTCTGGCAGTGACATGAGGAAGAGTGTGTTTGGAGGCACAAGGGGAGGAGAAAGGGGATTGAAAAATGAACCACACTAAGGAGTTCTGCAATATAAACTAAATTTTGTCCGAATTTCTGCAGTGATACCTCAATTAATGGATCTGAGAACAAAGCTCCCTTTGAAAAGAGTTGGCATATGCTTTAAAAGTAATGTTTCACATATGATGCCAAGTGGAAAAGAAACACCAGCCATTAATTCAGAGAGACTTCTGACCAGATTGTTTTTCCTTCACCCAAATGAGGATCATTAGGTCAAACCCAGGCAAAATTTTGAAGTCTTCGGTTTGTCTTCTTTAAAATTTCAACCTTTTTTCTTCTTCATCTTTTTCCCTCCTAATACTCTCCCACTTGAGATGACCATTATTGTCCCCTTATCAAACCTGGGAAGAACTGCATATCATGCAGACTTGACTGACTACCTGGTTATATTTTAGTGTGGATGAGTTGAGTTGGTTAACTCGAATCCCACTTTAATTTGAAGCCTTTATATTTACTTGTAGCTAGATGGTTTTATTCAGCAAGCATAACTGGCTGCTGGAGATCTATTCATGGGAACTGCTTGGGAAAGAGAAATGTTCCTCAGAGGTTTCCTCTAGCATGGGAAGCCTGCCGGATCTCCAGCTTTCACACTGTCCTTACTCCTAATCCACCTGAGAACGCTCTCCACCACAGCACAAGCACCCCTCCTGATCTTAACAGAACCTGCTTTCCTCCATCATGACCGAATGCTTAAGATTACGCCCTTAACATTTGGAAAGTACAATCCATTGCCAGAAAGAAAATGTTACTAGCCAATGATGAGCACACAAACTGGGAGTCTATAAGATAATGAAACCCTTTATTTGTCCTATTAAGATACTTGGCTATCAGAGTCTACCTCAGAGGAACACCTTGTAGTACTTTCTCTCTCTGGTCTTCTTCCTTGTTCTCCACTCCCACCAACTCCTTAATTCTTTTTATCCATCTGCCCACCTCAAAGTGTCCTAGCTCCCAATTGGTTTCACCAAGTTTTCTTTTCTTTTCATCAGTTCTCACTCTCCTAGGTATCCTATAAAGTGAACAAATGTAAAAGAAAACATTTCTCATGCTACTATGTCCCACACTTAAAGCATAACCTGACTTTGTGTATTATGCTAAGAAAGTCCTTTTTGTCTTTTCTTTTTTGATGACCCTCTCCCTGGATGGGGAGTGATGAAAAAAGATAGGGGGTGAAGGAGTAAAAAAAAATCCTACCCTGTCACACATTTTATATTTGTGACTATATCTGATAATATTTTGATTTTTAATTATATTTTTATACCTATATCCTTATGATATTATGTTATTTCAGATAAAATTAGATGAAATAATGTCAACGGTTATTTTTTAAATTATTTACTTTTGTTTTTTACAGCTTATAATAGAGAACTCCATACTTACACAAATAAATTTTAATAAGAATTTGAGGCAACTTGTATGTAAATAGGATATTTGTAAATTGAAATGTACTAGAGGAACTTATTCTTTAAAAGTAACTCTAGATAAAATTCTTCTGTAAGGTAAATAATCATCTTTTTAATATCAAAAATAAATACCTGTACATATCTTAGAAATACAGATTTTTCAAAGATGTTTCAAAACAGGTATATTTATAACATTTTGTTTAAAAATTCTTTAATAACTATATTCTACAATTCCAGTTGGGTACCATTAATATGGAGTAGACCTGGAAAGCCTGATAGAAGTCTTCAAACAGTTATAGCAAAGTGACAGGCCTCACAGGGGACAAAGTTAGCAACATTAGCATTGTTACCCAAGTTTGGGAATTGCTGAAGTTTGGTGAGATGGTAGCAAGCTGAGAAGGTTAGACTTTGTTGTCTGTTTCCCCCATCACAATATAAGCTCCATGAGTTCAGGGTCTTTGCTTGGCTCAATGCTATATTCTCAACACTTAGACAGTGCTTTTACATGCTTTAACAATTTTACTATAAATATTCCTGAATGAATACAATCAAATTTGTTACTTGTGTCTCAAGGAGAATGAAAAATTTTATCATTAACAAATTCATCATGGAGTCAATCAACTGATATGTAAATACAGAATACATAAAACACATTACATACACATACGCACTCATAATAGTTATCAAACATTATGGGAAGAAAACTCTTTTCCCCCACATACAAACATTACATTTTTATTTATTTTACCCACCATAGTGAATACTGGCTCACGTGACAAGTCCTATTAATTAACCAAAATAATTAATTCAAGATGAGCTCAATAAGAACTAGAAAATAGACACAATGAGAACATTTGTCTTTGATTTCCCTTTCTGCTTTTTTTGGTAAATAATATTGAGTCCATTAATTGCAGACAGTCTGTTATTCCATATCTCTGAGAACAGAAAATAAGTGTAGCAGGTTAATGAAAGTAGCGTTGATAAATATATGAGTAAAGTAAATGAAAATATGTAATGCAGTGGAGATCCAAAGAATATACATGTAAAAAATTTCAAAATATTTATTTTTAAAAAGTAATCCCTAAAACTGAAAACAAACTGAAAAGAATTAACTGTATATCAAATTTGTTACAACACCTAGAAATGATTTATTTTGAGTGATTTTATTTTCAGTTCAGAACATCACAAGGACAAAAAGAACTAAAAAGGCACTTTCAATTTCATTCAGTCATTTTCTTGGTAGTATTAATATTGGTTTTGTTATTTGAAACTATTTTCCTTATAGTACAGGATAAACACATTTTTGGGTTAATAATGTCAGGAATCAAGAATTTCAGCATAAAAGAAAAAAAAGACCTAATTAGAAAATCAAAGAACAAAGTAAAACACCGTAATGTTAACAGAATTGAAAATATCATCATGAACTTATGATTTTTAAAAATACACTTTTTCCAGCTAGAAACATTGCCAACTCCATAGAAAACAGCACTGCTCGTACCTAGATTCTGGGCTTTAATATCATTCCCCACTGCAATGAACCAGGAGTCCTTGAAGAGATAGCTGATATCAGTCTGAGAAGTACAAGGTGAACCAGGGAAATTTTAGGCCAGAAAGGAAGAAAGTTTTTTGATTAATGGAGTCCTATTAAAAGGACACAAAAGCCAGCTTGAAGGGGGTCTCCTACTGGCCTCCATTGTGATGATTTAGGCTTTACAATGGAAGGATCAGGCCATCATCATGCTAATCCAGTGGTCAATATAACATCACTAATTATGGGACAAACAGATAGTATGTGTCTCCTAATATAATGCAATATGAAGTCCATACTATCTATGACATATCCCAGCCAAAAATGCTCCAACTTGATCTTTTAGAGCTATCTTCCAGTTTCTCAAAAATACAGGAGATAGACAAACAACCTAAATCAGTGCTTCTCAAACTGCAGTGAAAACCAATACTTTTATCAATTAAAAGCAAATTATCTAAAAAAAAAAAAAAAGAGAAATACACATATAAACAAAGATAAATTTTTTCGTTTCTTTTTAAATACTTATACAGTCAAATAAAACTGTCTTTTCTTTTTAAAGCTTCTGGTTTTCCTGTTAAGGAAGTTTTCCAGGCCCTAAGTTATACATATAATTTCCTAAATTTTCTTCTGTTTTCTTTCTTTAAAAATTAACTTATTATTTTAAAATTTTCAATCCATCTATGCTGCATTTTTAATAGGCTGTTATTTTCTTCCATCTGAATATCCAATTGTTTTAGTACCACTGATTAAATAAACTATTGTTTTCTTATTAATATGAAATACCACTTTTGTCATACACACAGACACACACCCATATTGGGAACTACTTCTGAACTTTCTATTCTGGTCCACTGATTTGTCTATTTCTATGTCATTACAACACTGATTTGACTACAGTGGCTTTCTAGTATGCTTTATTTTCTGTTAAGGAAAGTCTCTGCCACTCTTCTTTTTCATTCTATTATTTCCAGTAGTGTCCCTCCACCCCACTTATCTTGGTTTTTCCACTTGATTTTCTATATATTCAGTATCATGAGGAGGGAAAAAGATAATTTTATTTCTTCTTTTTCCATGTCCATACCACCTATTTTATTATCTTATTTAACTGCATTCACTAGGACTTCCAAAATAATGCTGAATAATAATATTATAGCAGGAATGCCTATCTTATTCCTGTTTTCAATTAAAATGGCTTCAATATTTTGCTGCTTACCAAAAACCAAAAGCAAATATTCTTCTAAACAATCTTTATCATATTTAGCTTCCTTCTATTCCCATTCTGATTTTGTTTGTTTTTACTAGGAATGGTTGTTGCATTTTATCAACTTCCATTTCATAATCTATGAATATGATCACTTTTTCCCCCTCAATTTGTTGAAATAATAAATTATGTATCAGCTTTCCTGATATTAGAACCATCCTTGCATTCCTGGAAAAAGCATTTGTACTTGATATAGTATATTATTCCTTTGATATTTTGCTGGGCTTCATTTGCTAAGATTTCATTTACAGTTTTTGCAACTATATTCATAAGTGAGATTGGTTCAAGGCTTTCTTTTCTGTACTTAGGTTAGCACTAAATTTATGTGATTATGAATTGAGAAGGCTTGCATCTCTCAGAGCTGTCTGGAAAAATAACATCAGAATTATTCGGATTCCTTTCTCTTCCTTTTTTTTTTTTTGAGGAAGATTGGCCCTGAGCTAACATCTGTGCCCCTCTTCCTCTAATTTTGTATGTGGGATGCTGCCACAGCATGGCTTGATTAGCAGTGTATGGGTCCGTGCCCGGGATTCGAACCTGTGAACCGTGGGCTGCCGAAGTGGAGCACACAAACTTAACCACTACACCATTGGGCTGGTCCCTCTTTTCTTTTCCTTTTTTAAAACAGAGCTATAATTTACATACAGTAAACTTTCCTATCTTTTTTTTTTTTAATGCTAGCTAGAAC